CCCGTAGAAACAAATCCTGTCGATAATAACTTTTAAAGTATTGACTTTGCACCCAGACTGGTGTGAAGTATGATCATTCAATACAGCTGCGGTAAGTAAATCATTAGTCCTTGAGATATTTATCTGGGCTAAGGCTTTATGGACGAACAGAGCGACTTGGTTCAATTCATTTCACTTTATCTGGTTCAAAACACACTCGAATTAAAAGACATTCAATGAAATTATGAAATGAACGCTCGGTATTTGGTTTATCTATTGTACGTGAGATAGAAACTGTAGATGTGTTAAGTAAAATTGGAAGGTTGCTCTCAAACGATTTGGCAATTTGCTATCTAACCCGGAAATATACAGAAACCGATTTTTTCTTACTGTCTAGACAATAATAACAATTAAATCTGTGAATTGCTAAAGTTAATAAGCGGAATCAGGACCGCATACGCCTTTTTCCAAAATCTTATAAATACAGGGTGTCTCTGAAAAGGATGGACAACGCTTGACCACAGGTTCCTTGGATGAAAATAAGACTATTTACTTACCTATATACAAAAGTACACGCCTACTGAGATATAACCTTCTAAATATAGAATAGATAACCTATTTTTTTCAAATAATTTGAAAACTATTTTTCTTAGAAACTTCAAATTTGGTACACTTATTTTTTTATATAAGGGCAAGGTCAATATAGAATTTGGAGAGAATACATATACAGGATGTTCTATTTCTAGTGCCTGTGCGCCACTGGCTATCCCGTAACTTTTTTGTGTGTGTGCCAATGACGACAGAATTTATATTTTTTAAAATAAGCACTATTTTAGAAGATATTTTTGCTCTTACAAAATTTCGATATGGATTTCGAGTAAAATTCGCATTTTTTATACATTAAATACAGTCCAACCTCTTTAATCCGAACACACGTTAATCCGATCACACGCTAATCCGAACGTCCAAATCTGAATGATGACAAGAAAAGACTAGAACGCTTCGCGGGTAAGCGCAAGCGCGTAATCGGCAGTCAGTTTGTTTGCCGATATCGAAGAACCTGTTGCGTGTCGTGTTTTGTGTGACAATTTTGGAGTTTTTTTGGAAGTAAGAAAAATAAAAAATGTGAAAAGCGTAAAATAATACATATATGTATATACAACTACATGTTTATGTTTTACCTTATACAGGGTGATTCACAACTTATCCAACAAAATTTGGGAATAGATGCGGCATGAGAAATGGAGTCAATATTGTAAAAAAAAATTTTGTAAAATCCTTATAGTTTCTGAGAAAAAAGTTATTGAAGTTGTAGCACATTAAACCATCACATAGCTGGACAACTGTAGTCTCTAGCGTCATTCACAATACGCGTGGAGAGCCAAGTGTTGTATTCTTTCCCATATTCGTTTTCTGTATTTACTGAAAAGTTATTTTAAACTGTGGTCCTCAACGCTCCCCAAATGAAATAATTACATGGGTTAAGGTCCGGGGATCGAGGTGGCCATTTTAAAGGGGCATTATTTCCTCTACCTATTCACCTGCTAGACCTTTAGTAACCTGTAATACCTACCTGTACCCTGGAATACCAGTAACCTGTAATAACTGGTCTTTTAATACTCTATTAAAGGAACTTTTTGAACGCCAACCTCTGCCGCTAAATGCCTTTTATTTACTTGAGGAATTTTTTCGACCCTTTCCAAAATTTGTTCCTCCAGTTGAATAATTCCGGCCGTACATTATCCACGATTTAATGTTACAGGTAAAAAACGTCCTGGTTCCCGAAGGCGTCTCTCCGCATTAGCAAATGTTTTGTGATTTGGAGTTCTTCGATTAGGAAATCTTTCAGAATATATTTGAACAGTAGCACAACAATTTCCTTCACAATACCCCAAAACTACTAACATATCAGTTTGTTCAGCAAAAGTATAAATTGCAATAAAAAACAAAGTAAGCTAAAATTAAATCACAGCTAACTTGACACAGAACCTTTTAATTATTGCTATGAATTTGTTTCTCTGTTATATGGCACCTCGTACTAGAATGTTCTATTTATCTTAAACTGATTTTATATTATTTAATGTGTAAAAAATTCCAATTTTACTCGAAATCCATAAACGATATCAAAATTTTGTAAGAGGCAAAAAATCTTCTAAAATAGTGCTTATTTTTAAAAATATAAATTCTGTCGTCATTGGCGATAAAAAAGTTACGGGATAGACAGTGGCGCACAGGCACTAGAAATAGAACATCCTGTATATGTATTCTCACCAAATTCTATATTTACATTGCCCCTATATAAAAAAATATGTATACCAAATTTGAAGTTTCTAAGAAAAACAGTTTTCAAATTATTTGAAAAAAACTAGGTTATCTGGTTCTATATTTAGAAGGCTATATCTCAGTAGGCGTGCACTTTTGTATATAGGTAAGGCTAGATAGTCTTGTTTTCATCCAAGGGACCTGTGGTCAAGCGTTGTCCATCCTTTTCAGGGACACCCTGTATAATGACACGTTAGTTTACCTTTTGAAGGTTATTTGTGTTATGGCTGCAGACAATTGATCACTATAGGTACCACTTATTCAATTCTCAAGAGATAACCCAGAAATTCGAGACTTGTGCGGGAGAGGGGCGACATATTATTAATCTGTAGGCCGCATTTGTTTTATGACATATTAATTCTGACATACTCTTTAACGTAAATTAATAAAAATCGAAATTCAATATTGTGTAATAAAAATATTTAGGACGCCAAATTAGCAACAGCGAATGTTATGGAATGTTATTCATACAAATGTCAATTTATAGTAAACATTCTTAATTAAATACAGTTTGCGCTTGTTTTAGTTTAGATAATTTGTAAACGCTTATTAGCTAATCTAGGCGAGAATATTACGAAATTAACAACTTCTGTGTCTATTACCATTTACTCATTATCGTCACTCAGGAGTGACCTGTAAATTTTTTTGTAGGTTCATGGCATTCATATGACTGTAATGATACAAGGAATATTATGTTTACAATACAATATGTACATACATATGCATATTGCTTATGTATGAGTTAACATTTCATACGGCATTTTATGTATTTTCGCTTCGTGTTTAAAAATACTTTTTTATAATGTTTACTTGTACAGTAAATTATTACCTGTACACAAACGTGTGCGATAAAGCGAACAACACCTCATCTTTGCATTGCGAAAATAATAAAATATTTTCTTCCTACCTTTTATGAAGTTTGTTGATCTTAAATAAGAAAAAAAAACAGTAGTATTTGTGAGAATAGTGACATTCTCTGCTCATACTTAACGCCGATAATTTGTCACATTGTCCGTTACAGGATGGTGTTTTATAGACAAGAAATCGCAGTTTTAGTAAGACAAGAAAATCCATCTAAACTGTAAAAATGTAGAAATACAAGGATTACTTTAATTTTTTGCGGTGAAAGATCGCGGAAAATATGGGCACCCATGTAAACATCCTGTTTTGTCGAGAATTATGTAAAAATACTCAATAATTATGATTAATTCGTTATTTTGTTAATAGTTTCATAAAAGCATTCTGCGGGGTGTGATTATATTTATAGAACCGTACGCGATTTTGTGTATATTCAACAGGCATATAAACTTTAGGAAAGATAATCATAAACATATAAGAAGCATAAATATGCTTTTTTTCTTATTCTGAATGTATTGTCAGCTTGTAAACTATCTTATGCCCTAGAGAAAACTTACATAACTATTACAGTGAAGATATATTGCTTTTAACTTGCTTAGATTTTCTAAAAGCCTCGTCAAAAAACTGCTTTTTCAAAGTTGAACCGCAATAAATTAATTTATTTTGTGAAATTTAGTATAGAGTCTCGTGAACGCACTGTGTATCATTCGATGGACAACATGGGTATCCGTTATTACCGAAATTGAATGAATAAGTTTAATTATAGACTTTGTGGAACATTAAAATTGGTGTCAGGAGTTTATTTCAACACTGAAATCAAACATTTTCATGAATAGATAGATACTTAAATGTGGTTTGGTTTGGATCATACAGCGGAGATAGAGTTAATGTTTATTTAAAATTACACGTGTTGAGAAGATAACTCAATTTAGCATCATTCGCAGTAGTATAAATTAATTCAATTCAATTCATATAGGTTTTCAGTAACAATAAATTTCGAACAAATTACATTTTCGTTACTAAAAAGATGTCGCGCCTGTGTTCGTGCAAATGGAGGTATTTTTGAGCATTTACTCAAATAAAATCTTTAAAATGATGATTAATGTCATTAATTTCTTTATACGAATAAATAACCGAATGATTAATGCTTGTCATGTTAAATTTTACTCGAAAATCAGGTTTTTTTTCGAAAAACATAAGAGAGTTACCGTAAAGCAGTGGCGTACTATTTTATATAGAAAAATATGCCACCGACACCCTGTGTCTCCGCCACATGTAAATTTTAGTTAAAGCCCTCAGATTTTTGACAATGTTTACATAAATATATGTGCCTAATTTCAAATTATTTCTGTTACTAGTTTTTAAATTAAGCATTTAAAAAAATTATGTATCTTTTTAACGGAGAGTACTACTAGATAAAAACTTTATAGGAAAGTCTCCCCTTAAAATTCACCGAAAAATACGAGGTTTCATTTTTGGTCACCATTTGTGAATCACCCTGTATAAAGAATCATTGAAAAAAAAACTTTTCGAGAACCTCGGGAATCGTTACTTACATAAAAAGAGTTGGCCATAAATGACGTGTCGACCGCTTCTTAGTCTCTGTTTGATTTTTCACTTATTTAATGACTTATAATAAGTTCTCACAAGGTGTCTTAACACTACTCTAACCTAAACTCTTCTGTCTATATGTGTATAGGGCTTATGTGCCCACACCCTAGCTTTCGTCCCACACCTCAAAACAATGAAGAGGGGGGTTGGACGGAACCTTATGGCGCGTGGCGTAACATGCCGTCCCCCTTGAAAGGTTCCCTTTCAATAAAGGAGATGAAGCCACGTACTTAACTTGAGTTTAATGGTAGCACGCAAACCCTCCCTAGTGCACGTTTCACTATACCACTAGGTGTCTTGACACTCACTACCCTCACTATGTTGTCATGCCCTGGATGGATCGCTGTTATTCTGCCCTTGGGCCACTGTTGTGGTGGTGTATTATCTTCCTTGAGAAGAACTAATGATCCTATTAGGGAAGAGACATCTGATTGGAACTTCCATTTGGACCTTTGCTGCAGGTTATGCAAATATTCATTTTTCCATCTCTTCCAGAAGTGTTGAGTCATTCGGAGAAGGTGATGATAACGCGCAACGGGAGTGAGTCGTTGATTTTCGACATTAGGTTCTGGTACTGAATTGAGCGGCTCCCCAATTATGAAGTGGCCTGGAGTCAAGGCCTCAAGGTCTTCGGGATCACTGGATAGAGGGGTTAAGGGTCTTGAATTCAGAACCGCTTCGATTTGAGTTAAGAGAGTATAGAACTCTTCATAAGTTAAATGAATATTATTCAAAATGCGTTTCAGGTGATGTTTGACTGCTTTAACAGCTGCCTCCCAGAGACCTCCAAAGTTTGGAGAACGTGCTGGAATGTAATGCCACTGAATTTTCTGATCGCGCAAATAATTTTGAATTTGGTCTTTCTGAATTATGTGATAAAACTCTAACAACTCACGATTTGCTCGCGTAAAATTGGAGGCATTGTCCGAGTAAATATGACTACATAAGCCACGTCTTGCTACGAATCGTTTTAAGGCATTTAAAAACATAGATGTAGTTAGTTCTGTCACCAACTCTAGATGAGTTGCCTTGCTTGTCATGCATACAAATACGCAGATGTAAGCCTTTATTATCTTACGATTGCGAGTTTTTCCGTCCTTTATATAAACTGGACCTGCGTAGTCTACAGCGCAACTAGAAAAGATGCGATTTGGAGTGACGCGACTGGTAGGTAATTCGCCCATCTGAGGGATAATAGTGCGAGGTTTGGCTTTAAAGCAAGGAATACACTTATGTATAACCGACCTTACCTCGGATACACCATTTAATGGCCAGTAAGTTTGTCGAACGCAGGATAACGTTGTCCGTATTCCCACATGTAAATTGCGAATGTGGAAATCTCGAATTATTAGACGCGTGAATGGATGTGTACTTGGTAATAAGATTGGATGTCGTTGATTGAATGAAAGTTTTGAATTTTTTAATCTACCGCCCACACGAATTATAGAATTGTTATCTAAAAAGGGATTGAGTGAATTTAACCTGCTATTTGGCTTAACTGAATTATTTTTGCGCAAAGCGTGAATATCATCAGAAAAGGCCTGAATTTGTGCTAATTTTACAAGAACATGTGTACTGTTTACAAGTTCTTGATATGTGAGCGAACCTGTTGTTCTCAAATCTTTAGCTAATCTGCAGTTTTTCGAGAATCTTTGACAATAGGCTACCACCGCAAGTAGTTTTGATAATGTTGAATACCTTTCAAATATGTTAAAATCGTGTGTACTTATTAATGAGACGGTTGCTTGTTTACGTCTATATTCTGGTAAATTTGACTGAATTCCATGTTTTGCATAATTTGAGATATGTGTATTATTTGGCCAATCATTTTCAGCTTCCAGCAAATATTTCGGTCCATGCCACCATAATTCGCAATTAATAATTTCTCGAAAATTTAAACCGCGTGAAATAAGATCGGCAGGATTATTGCTCGAAGTAACATGATGCCAATTGTCAATTTGAGTAATTTGTTGAATTTGTGAAATTCTGTTACAAACGAACGTTTGCCAGCTGCGAGGATCAGCTGATAACCAGGAGAGAACTATAGCTGAGTCCGTCCAATAAAATATTTGATTAATGGACATATCTAATGCCGCTATTACCTTATTGGTTAATTGTGCAAGAAGTAATGCACCGCATAGTTCGAGACGAGGTAGAGAAATTGATCTAATCGGGGCAACCCGTGATTTGGCGCAAATTAATCTTACTTGTATATCACCCCTTGAGTTAACGCTTCTTATGTATAAACATGTACCGTACCCCTTCTCACTTGCATCCGAAAAACCGTGAAGCTGTGTATTTGTTGAATTTGGAAGCATTATATGTCGAGGTATCGGTATGGTGTTGACTTCAGCAAGTTGTTTATAAAATCGTTGCCATGATGTATGCAAATCAACTGGAATTGATTCATCCCAATCTAATTGTAACTGCCATAATTGTTGCATTATTAATTTTGCTTGCATTACAACAGGACCTAAAAGTCCCAACGGATCAAAAATTTGGGCAATACACGATAATATCGCTCTCTTAGTAAGATGTTCAGGATTGATCGATTTTGTTTGTGAATTGTACACGAACTGGTCTAATGTTGGGTTCCATAATATACCTAACGCTTTTGTGCTTTGATTGTCCGTTATTATGTAATTTTCGCTCCCTAAATTGTGTGCATCTGCATTATTTAAAATGCTGTGCATTAACTCTTTACTATTAGAATTAAATTTTCTCAGTTCGAAACCTGCTTGGCTTAGAATCTTTGTTAAATTGCGTTGAATGTTGAGTAAAGTTAAATGATTTGTGCTACCCGTTATCAAGTCATCTACGTAAAAATCATTCATGATTATTTTGCTTTCATCTGGAAATCTCTCAATGTTATCAATGCCTAATTGTTTAATGCAACGTGTTGACAAAAAGGAGGCTGAGGCGGTCCCATATGTCACCGTGTTTAATTGAAAATAGTCTAAATCATAATTTGGATCTTCACGCCATGCGATTAATTGTAAATTTCGCTGTGTCGGGTCGATTAATACTTGGCGGTACATTTTTGCTATGTCACCTACCAATACAATATTGTGTTTACGAAATCTGATTAGAATAGAAAATAAATCTTGTTGAATATTCGGACCTATCTTCAAGGTATCATTCAATGAAATGCCCGTGCTAGTTTTCGCAGACGCGTCGAATACTACTCGGAGCTTTGTTGTTAAACTGCCTGATTTTTCTACGCCATGATGTGGCAGAAAATAGTGAGTTGAGGATATGTCTCTGTGATTTATTTTTGTCATATGACCTAACGCTTGGTATTCTGACATAAAATTACAATATTGCCCTTTTAATTCGGGATTGCGAATTAATTTCCGTTCAACTGACAGAAATCTCTTAGTAGCTACTTGAAGTGATTCACCTAAGTTGACATAATTATCGCGTAACGGCAGTTTGACTACAAAGCGGCCTGACGTGTCACGATAAGTGTTTTCCGAAAAATGTTTCTCGCATTCCATCTCCTCACGTGAATATTCAATCTGAGGATAAGCTTCTTCGATGTTCCAAAAACGTTCAATTTGATCATGAATATCTGATTTTATTGCAAGGAAACATGCTTGATCTAAATTGTGTTGATATGATGATTCATTAAACATCCGTCCTGAAATGATCCATCCTAATTTAGTTTTATGTAGGATTGGTTGATCGTGACCTAATTTTATTTGTCCAACACACAATAGATCGAAAAATATACTAGCTCCTAATAACATGTCTACATTTGAAGATTTGTTAAATTCAGAATCGGCCAACTTTATTGAGCTGGGAATGTTTAATTCAGATATATCAAATGATTGCTGAGGTGTGAGACCCGTGATGTTGTCAATGATTAAGAAAGGTAATTTGACACTGTAATTATTATACAACGATTTAATTTTAATGTATGTCTGACTTGTAATGTTTGTTCGTGTTTGACTTATTCCTAAAACAGGAACATTTGTTTTTGATACCTTCAGCCCGAGTCGGGAGGCAAGTTCTCGTGTTACAAAATTCGATTGTGATCCATTATCGAGAAGTACGCGACATTTAATTAATTGTTTGTTTGAATCGTATGCATTTATTATGGCCGTGGATAATATTACTAAGGAATTTATTTGGCTGCACTTGGCATTTAAACTACAATGCGTAATAGATTCATTGTTTGTTGTGATTTGATTATATGGTTGAGAGTTGTTTGAAGCATTACCGATGCGAGAGTCTGAATTATGATTGCTAGAATTACTGACAGCTTGTATGTTGCGAGAAGTGGTAGGTCTGTCTTGGGATTCTAATGTACTGGAAGTCGACGAATGAAGGAGCGAATTGTGGCGTTTTTGACATATTTTACATGTACCTGCCTTGCATTCTGAATTTGAATGACCTCGACGAAGACAGTTTGTGCAAAGACCTAACCTTTTAGCTTCAGAAAATCTTGTATGCGTAGGTGAACAAATGAATTTTTTGCATTTGTAAATAAAATGATCACCTTGACATAATGGACAATTTATATCTGTAGTGGTAACATGTGACGTTAATCTATATTCTGACTGTTTTTTGACATAAACCTGACTGGATGTACGTAATTTGTCATTTATTGATTCGAGTAAATTGCAACGTTGCGTGAGAAATTTTATTAAATCGTCTGTTGAAGGCAAAGAAATGCTAGAAGAATGGTTTTCCCATTCCTTTCTTGTGATTATGTCGAGTTTAGAAGTCAAAAGAAAAATTAAAATGGTGTCCCATTCATCAACTCTGCCATCTAAATTTTTTAATGAGCGAATATGCTTTAAAAACGTGTCTAAAAACCTTCGAAGCGATGCATGATCTTCTTTAATAACGTTGGGTAGGTCAAATATGCCCTTTAAATGTGAATTTATAATTGCCTTTTTATTCTGATATCTGTCTACTAATAATTTCCACGCCTCTGAATAGTTTGAATCGGAAATAGTTAACGAACTTATAACTTGAGACGCTTCACCTTTTAAGCAACCTTGTAGATAGTATAATTTTTGAATATTGCTTAAGGACGGATTATCATTTATAAGTGAGTTGAAAGTATCGTGGAATTGCGTCCATTTGTCATATTGACCGTGAAATTCAGGCAAATTAACTTGTGGTAATTTTACATTAAAACGCGTATTGGAATCTGATGAACTGTTCGCAGTTGGCGTGGCTGCGCGAGAATTAGGGTTCGCGTCTTTGTCTTTGGCGTGTGACCGGTGATGTTCTAATATTTCGTTACTGCGTGCTATTAACTCGAAATATGTGTTTTCAAAAGTCTCGCGTTCTAAATTATTCTCTTCTGCATGCTCATTGTTTTCATCAAGGAATTCAATTTCTGTTTGAATGTTGTCAAATTCCGCGAAAACAGACGAAACCGCATCAAGACGTGTCTTTAATCGCATGACAGACGCTGACGATTCGACAAAACTGTCTAAAAATGTATTGAATCTAGTCAGCTGACCCTTTAAAGCACCTCGTCGAGTCGTTAGTTTTTTCAATTCAGCCATAACTTAGCTGTGAACTGTGAACTGATGTCACCTAAACTATACTATAATGACGAGCGAATAGAGACTGATTTATTGCCTATTCGTTTTGTGGTTTACCGTGTGCCTGAAACGTATTTTGTTTCTTATAACATCTGTTAAATGTCACCGACCACTGTTGAATGTAAACAAATGAAACTGTTCTGAATGAGTGAGTAGGTTAGAGCTGATATGTTTGCGTTGAAAAAGGATGAATGGATTGGACTGACCTTGTAAAGGGCTTACTGTTTTGTTTTGATGACGTCGAGCGATTCTCGGCCTTATGGATGCTGCTTGGCTTGGCGAAGGTTGTTAATCCGGCTCGAAGGACCAATGTTTGATTTTTCACTTATTTAATGACTTATAATAAGTTCTCACAAGGTGTCTTAACACTACTCTAACCTAAACTCTTCTGTCTATGTGTGTATAGGGCTTATGTGCCCACACCCTAGCTTTCGTCCCACACCTCAAAACAATGAAGAGGGGGGTTGGACGGAACC